GTGTGTGTGTGTGTGTGTGTGTGTGTGTGCATGTACATGAGTGTGTCCCCTGAAATTGTGTACAGGGGCGTGAGATAGGAAAGGGGATTCACCCCTTGTTCCTTCTCATTTTCCTTGCACACATGATCACAACTGAGACTGGTCCAACAAAGGAAAATAGCATGAATAGAAATAATATACACCACTGTGGAAAGACGCAATATAAGGGAAAACAAGAAAAATTAGGTCATGTGTATACATGATTGCAGTCATAAATATAAATATGTTCGTGTAGTTTCACTTTACGCAACTGCTGAGACACCAAGGAGGAGGCCAATGAAATGATATGTCTGAAAATCAACGAATAATAACAAATGGAACACTTCAGGCAGAATCAGGGGAAGTTGGTTGATGAAATCAAATAGGCAGAGTACAGCAGAGAAATATGATGCAGATTTAGAATACACTAACCAGATATACGAGGAGCGTTCCGTATAAAAAGGCCTCCTATTTTTTTTAATGAAAACTACAACAGATACAGAAAACATGACACAGTTAAATAGAGCAAGATTTCAGCTAATTACAGTTATTTTTCCACATAATCACCACCATTCGTTATGCACTTTTGCCAGCGATGAACAAGAGCCTGTATGCCGTGCCCGTAAAAGTTTGCACCAGCAGAGGCTAGCCACTTTCTTACAGCTGCAATGACAACATTGTTGTCTGGAAAATGTTGCCCATGTAGTCCATCTTTCATGGGCCCAAAGAGATGGAAGTCTGAAGGTGCTAAATCGGGGCTATAAGATGGATGTGGTAGGACAGTCCAGCCAAACTTTCCAATGTGCGTGGTGGTCGCCAAACTGGTATGGGGTCTAGCGTTATCGTGTTGTAAGTAAAAGTTTGTCTGCTTCTCTGGTCTGACTCGGGAAATGCGGGCTTTCAGCTTAGTTAGCGTCGTTTTGTAGCGTCAGAATTGACAGTCTCACCAGGCTCCAGGAAATCCAAGAAAATCACACCCTGTCTATCGCAAAAGACCGTGCACATCACTTTCCCTGCTGATGGTTGTGTCTTGAACTTTTTGCTTGGGGAATCTGGATGTTGCCACTCCATGGACTGTCTTTTGAATTCCGGCTCATAGTGGTGACACCCCATCTCATCTCCAGTGATGATGCTGTCCAGAAACTAGTCACCTTCAGCCTCAAGCTGGTGCAACAGGTCCTGACAGACTTCCAATCGATGAGTTTTGTGGTCCTGTGTAAGCATCCGCGGGACCCGCATGGAACAGACTTTGCGATAATCCAGCTTCCCCAACATCCTTTCCAATGCATCACAGCCGATATTAAGCCGTGCACACAGTTCCCTGGTCGTTTTATGCCAATTTGTAAGGATGAGCTGATCGAGGTGCTGTTCATTGTGAGGAGTGGCAGCTGAGCAGGGACGCCCAGGGCGTGGTTTGTCGCGAACTTCACTTGGTGAAGGAAATTGGCTGACACATCAAGTCTTGCTAACGTGTCCACAGTGAAGTTGGTGTGTTCTGCTTGGTCACTCGGTTTTAGTTCATGAATCATTTGAATCTTGTACGCTCTCATGCAGAGCCCTTTGTGTAGCACATTATGCACTGTTGAACATGGAATTTGTAATTGCAAGCTAGCAGCATGAAATGATTTGCACAGACTTCTCTGGAATGCTCCTTTAATGTGAGTGACATTTACTTCAAAGGTCCATATCTCGTCAGGAGATTTTACAGCAACAGACTACCTGTTGTCCTCAGTTTGTTGTCCCAGAACCAAATGCTTTTCCATGTTAGAGGTTGGTGACGCTGGACAGCTGTAAGAGATTTTAACTCTCCTAGCCACAACATGTATTGTACCTGTTTCTGTTGTGTCAACATTGTTACCGAGCTCACCAAAAGTCACCAGTGGGTGCACCCATGTAAGCTGGGCATGAAAAAAAGCTTTCAGAGTTTTCCTTTCCGATGACATAAACCAGATGCATGTATGACAATTACTTTCTGAGATAAAAATTTTTTATTTTGGAAATCTTTCATCTGAACACCTGTACATATATGAAAAGGAACAGTCCCACAACTCATAGTGGTGAGAAAGAAAATATGGTCATGGGTCATCCAGGGCCTGGAACCAGGCTGTTGGCAAAGGCCAGCAGCAGTTTACCTGAAATGAAAACCCTACATAGCATCCAGTAGTAAGACGAGTGATGAATTGGAAATGGATTTGGAAGGAATTGTTCGTGCCATAATTCAGGTACTATCATGGAATTTGCCTGGAGGGACTAAACAAAACCAAAAAAAATCCTCAGAATAACTGGTGTCCTGGCCAACATGTGAATCGAGCTCCAGAATACAAGTATAGAGCATTACCACTACACAAGCCTTTTCAACATTAGGCAACTTTTAGGTATTAATGGGTATTAACTTTGATTCATGTACTGGAAAATTTGACTCGTACAATTTAAAATAAATATTAGGATTGTAATAAACTTAGTTTGTGTGCAAGTTATTTTAACACATCATAATAGCTTATGAACCACAATTTCTATATTATTAAAAAACATATTTGCTGTAACAAGTTGCAATTGAAATAAGCTAAATGTGTTCTCTTTTAATCTAGGCCTATCCATTCGGATAACAAGGGCTTCAAGCTTTTGGCAAAAATGGGATGGAGTGAAGGTCAGGCTCTTGGCAAAGATGGAGATGGCTGTGTGGAGCCGGTAAGTCATTCACAGTTTACTTCTGTTTGTGCTTTATGTCTGAAATTCTTTGTGAGTTCCCATTCCATAAGTTAGTCTTGTATTCGTGAGTTTCTCTGCTTTTCTTAAGATGACATATGTGGCAAAGTATATGTTTTCCTATACACAGTTTCATTGCTTCTGATGCTCAGTATATTCATATTGTGGCATAGTTGGTCAAGGCAAGAATAGTGAAGCTAGCACAGTCAGCCATCACTGAATAACGGCTTTGCAAACAATCATATTTTCACAGCAACAATTTGATACAACAGTAATGAGAAGCAGTGTTTTCTATGCTGTCCATACTGAGATATTATAAGCAGGACCAGTCAGTCGAGTCCAGCCAAGTTCATTGGTGAGAGTGAGTGAGATACAGGACTGCTGCAGTTCAGTCTTTGTGAGCTGTTGCTTTGAGAAGCTGGTAGCTGAGGCTGCAGATAGTTCAGGAACCCAGGGGAAGGGGAATGCCTGCCATTGGAAGCCATTACCAAGTAATGGCACTGAAAACATGCCTGTTGACACTAGTGTGTGTGTGTGTGTGTGTGTAATAATGAAGTGTAAAGTGTAATCACAAGCTGTGTCAAAGTGTCCAATAAATCCGATAACCAATCCAAATCCCATCTATAGTCGCACCCTCTTGCATGACAGCTGGTGTCAGAAGTGGGATTGGATTGATCAAATTGTTGGATTGGAGACTGCAGTAGGTAGCTATATCGCCACATTATGGAGCTGGAACGAATGATGGAACACTTGCTTGCTGAAATAAGAGCCTTTGAGGTCCTTTGAGGTGCTCTAGTCTCCGAGATGAATACCAACCAAGCCAAGAGAGGAGTGGATGGCTGCAATGAAAGCCAGTCAGTCTAGAGATGCTGGAGGTCTACCTAGAAAAGATTGAGGCAGATAACATTATGACGCTTCTAGTGTTCATGACATCACAGAGTGACAGAGTGGAGCCATGCCTCCACTCCCCCACACATCTTCATGTCATGGTGCTCAAGTAATTAAGCATAGGGACAACTTTACCCTTTTCACTTTATTTTAGTTTGGGCTTCTGACAGCACCTTTAAATAGACCATAAACACAAATACGAGTAAAAATGGAATGAATGAAAGACAGAGTTTGATAAACTATCAGACGTGAGTTCAGGATAAAAAAATGTTTCAAAATATGCTAAAAATAACAGAATTGCACATGGCAATCTAATACCAATTACATGTTATTGGATCTGATCATATCTGGCCCTCAGTATTTTTCCAGATAAAAGCTCTTTCATGAAAGAATTCACAAGCTAACATTCAACTATAACCAAAGGCTGTGCCATAGCTCAAGCAGTTAGTCGTTGGCTTCCCATCGCGGTGGCCCGGGTTCAATCCCGGGTTTTGTCAAGTGGGATTTGTGGTGGACAGAGTGGCACTGGGGCAGGTTTTCTCTGAGTACTTCGGTTTTCCCTGCCAATCTTCATTCCACCAGTTGCTCCACAATCAACCTCACCTATCATCTGGGGCTGGTACAGTAGGCCAGAAGTGGCCGCAGGACAAGGGACTTAGTCCCACCCCACTAGCAATAAAAAAACTATAATCAAAAATCTGAAAATTTTTTGTGATGGAGAAATCTGTTTGTGGATCAGGTGTTTCAGTTTACACAGTGCAAATCATTAAGTTACTGTTTTGCCCTAGAAATGGCAGCAGTCCCTGCATTTCTAACCCTGGCACTTTGGAGAGTGTTACTCTGTGGTGTCATGAAGGCTAGAAGCGTCATAATGATAGGTGATGAAATACTGTTTGTACCAAATACTTGTATAACCCACACTGCTATAGAGTATTAAATTACTTCCACTTAAGATTTTCCTCTGTTTAGTGTTCAGACCTACTACTACTATTGAAACAAACCTTAAATATAATTTTTTACTATATATTGTACTTTTTAGTGTTTTAGAAAGAATGCAGTGCATACACAGTTTTTTAAATTAACATTAACAGTGTGAGCCAAAGCATTATATTGTATTTTTAGCCCTCCTGCTTTGTAGTTAGGGGACTGTGAGTTTGAATTTCATACTATATATATTTAGTGTGATCTTTTTATGATTAATGAGAGGGTTGAGATAGTTCATAATTAATTCCATGGTAGCATGTCACTAGATACTTTACTATTCAGCTTGCACAATAATCCTGTCATTTGAAAGCAGGTTGACACGTATGTAATTGCTGTAATATGGCCAGGATATATTATTATTATTATTATTATTATTATTATTATTATTCTTTAAATTGAATTTAAACATCAAAATTTTGGGCAAACACATTCACACACCCACATTTAGTTGATGACGTGACGGGTAATGTGATGAACTGTCCGGGTTTCAATTCCCAGGTAAGGGCGTTTGAATTTTTATCAGTGCCATCACATCCAGAACATTTTAGTCTCATAGACAGTTGATATTAGATGTTTTTTACTGCATGTAAAGGTGGCCGGGGCATAAATCTGATCATTGATCATGTCCCAAACTTAAGCAGACCAATGTCTGGACCAAACGCCATGGTTTGCAAAATCACTGATTCAAATCCCGAATGCGAGGCTTACCATTCTGAATGAGGATTGTTCATCATTTTCGTTCTGATTGAAGTACGCCACAGTCGATTTCTAATAATTCTTCCCAGTTCACCGTTCATAACCACTGGGCCAGTCAGTAGCTGAACGGTAAAAGGTCCCTGTTGTAAAGTTGTAAAGTTGTCCCTGTGCTTAACTAATTAAGCACTACGCCATGAAGACGTATGGGGGCATGGATGTCTAGACCAACATTTTCCTGACATCGGCACTAGTTGGTGAGTGGTCAGCTTCACGCCCTGGCCGCTTACCCCCTGTTACCCATTGGATAGGTGGCTGGGTGGACACCACAACCAGTCTGGACAACAAGGAGAAGTGAAAATTCTTGCCCCCACCGGGACTCGAACTCCGACCTCTCGGTCGTCCAGCCTGTATCCAGTGGCTATACCGACTGAGCTGTCCCGGCTCTTAGCTGAACGGAAACTGTAGTTTAAAAGAAACTGAAGTTCGGAGAACACGGATATCAGAGCCTGCTAACCGAACAAGTTGGTTCAAGCGGCAACCCTTTTCACTTGATTCGAAAGGTGTCCGGTTCGAATCTTGGCCAGAACACCGACTATCTTAAGACTCTGTGATTTTCCTTGTTCTTCGAGACATACTCGTATGCAGGGATAATACCGGAAATGAGACCCTGGCCCTGTACCTACAACCAGCTGACTCCGTGGGGCTGAAGCTGCTAGTCATTCATCTACCCAAGAATTTCTAAAAATTTCTAGACCCGAAAATTTATTACCGTGTTTACAAGATTCCGCCACTGGTCCCTATTCCGAGTCAGATGAATCCAGTCCATACCTCCCTATCCTTTTCTCTAGGACCTATCTTAACATTGTGCTCATATCTACGTAAAAAGCTTCCTAATTGTCTCTTTCCTTCATGTTTCCCCCACCAAAACCCTATATGCTTTCCTAGCGGTATCTTCCATACTTCTTCCAATTCAGTAATGCATAATCATTCTATCTTTCTGCTATTCGTAATCTGAGCATCATTAAGTAAACAATGAATATCTCAAGTTATCTCACATCCTGTTAATTCGTCTTCTTCTTGGCCTTTCAGGTGACACATTTCCAAAAGGTTTCCACGTCAAAAATCTGTTTGTATGTATTGTATCTCCGTCCGAACAAGATTCCAAGCCTAACGTAACTTCGGTTTCACTACGCGGACAGAAAAAAAGGCAGCGTCATTAAATGAACAAAGAAACAAGAACGCGTGGAGCTTTACGTCGCCTTCACGCCTTCATACACTAAAATCAAGGCATGAGAGTAGCTTTGCAGGCCCACATACACGTATAAGGAATATTGTATGATGATGAATAATGGATTTGTTTAATATACTATCACAATATTCTCCTGGGGGACTGGAGGAAGCATGCAGAATCTGCAGATCTCCATAGTATACTTGCTTTGGCGCCGTTAAGGTCACGGAGTTCCGAGATACATGCGATAGCTTCAGTACGATTTCACTTAACACAGAGCATTACGAATTAGATAAAGCAGCATGCAGTGTCATGCCTCGAGTTACCTGCTCAGAAATGATCTGCTTCAGGGTGCAGACCACTCGACACAACGCCCACGACAGCAAATTCATCCCAAAGGTGGGCTCACATAACGTGCAACGGCGCGCAAGCAGCAGTGATTTCGACATTGGTGCTAGTGAAATTATAACGGTATGGAAAGTAGCGGTATATCGTTTACGTAGTATTCCTTTTTATACGAAGTTTAAAGTGAAACGTAAGAAATGGAGTAAGTTTCTTGAAAATGAAGACCATCGGCTGTTGGGCAAAATAGTGCATTGGCCCCATTCATGAACAAAACGTTTGCCGTTGTTCTGCGCAGTTTTAAATGAGTTTTTTTTTTTTGTGCGGATATTCCAAAATAAATTGTGTGCTCGTAAGGAACTATAGTCATTTATAGGTTTATTAGGTTTGGCAGCACGCGGTAGCGTAGTTGGTTAAGGCATTATGCTACAAGCTGGAAGGTCGCGAGTTCGAGTCCCCCTGGTGTGGATTTTTTCAATTTACCGAATTCTTCCAGCCGCACTATGGCCCTGGAGTCGACTCAGCCTCTAACAGAAATGAGGACCAGGAATATTCCGGGAGGTAAAGGGCGGCCAGCACGTGAGGTTGACAGCCTCATCGCCATCTGTGAGCCGACTGTCTAGAAAATGTGGGAGCCTCGACGTCTTGAAACCCTATGGGCCTCCACAGCCTCTTGCAGGGATACGTTTATCCTTTATTCCGTTTATTCAGGCGCGCACGAAACCGATTACGAAATAGCATTTCAATTTTGTCGCGTTCACGCCCTTTTGTTGACGTAGACGATTTCTTTAAAATCCTAAGGCACATGGAAAGAGTGGAGCTGGGATAGAGTAGTCGGTATAGC